ATCACCACAATTAAAAAGGATTTAGAAGATTGATGAGCTTGAAGATCCGGCACGTAGGAGACTGGCTGCTGACGAGAAGATTGATGAGCTTGAAGATCCGGCACGTAGGAGACTGGCTGCTGACGAGAAGATTGATGAGCTTGAAGATCCGGCACGTAGGAAACTCGTGGCCGACAATAAGATTAATAATCCTGAAGATCGCGCACATCGGAGACTGGTTGCTTACATGACGATTGATGAGCTTGACGTTCTTGCACATAGGGACCTGCTTTCTGGTAAGAAGATTAATGATCTTGAAGATCTGGTACGTCGGAGACAGGTGACTTACAAGAACATTGATGAGCTTGAGGATCCAGGACGTAGGAGGCTGACGTCTGACACGAAGATAAATGAGCTGGAAGATCCAGTACGAAGAGGACTGGTTGCTGACAAGAATATTGATGAGCTTGAAGGTCCGGCACTGAGGAAACTGGTGCTTGATAAGAAGATTAATGAGCTTAAAGATCCCGCACGTAGGAAACTGGTGTCTGGTAAGAAGATCAATGAGCTTGAAGATCCGGCATGTAGGAAACTGGTGCCAAGCAACAAGATTAAAGAGCTTCAAGATCCAGCACGCAGGAAACTGATCGCTGACAAGAGGACTGAAAAACTCGAAAATCCAGCACATAGGAGACTGGTGGCATAAGGTAAGATAAATCCCAAGCACTTGCAAACTTTGCAATTAGAAAATTGCATTTTCCTTAGGCCTGAAGAAGTGGCGACCGACTTAAGACTTCAACTTTGAGATTCTTTTTTAGGCGCTGAATGATGATAACGTTAGCACGGTTTAATTTTCAGTGGTTTAACCCATTCATGTTTAACTGTCAAAGGTGTTTAACCATTAGTTAATTGGAAGTAAACCCAAAATGGAGCCGTATGGTGAGGATCCGTTTACGTCAAAAAAAAAAACTCGAAGAATCTAGACGGAACGAGAATGCCTACGGATGGTGAAGATTTACTTGGCCTTGCAGACGACAAAAATTCCATCTCAAGCTTTAGTTAGCCGGATATATCACTAAAAAGGTTTTTTTTGTTTTCTAATTGCAGGCATTTACAGTAACCATTTGAAGCAGCTTCAAGAAAGGATTTTCAGAAGTCTATTCTTTCGTAATAAATGTTGTTAAAATCGAAATCAAGACTGGTTGAAGAAAAGTGGCCTTTTTTGTGTCACTTTACTAGTTTTAAGGGGCAGTATGCTCCATGCACGATACTATGAGTTCTATCTCCACAATTAAAAAGGATTTGCGAATTTATGACGCTCTAGCGGTATGACATTTCAAAGAGTAGCCCATCCCTTCCGAAGTTATAACATGGGCTTAAAAATCGGTTATAAACAGGCTACTTTGAATTTTGCTCAGCAATCCGGTTGCACACCAGTAAAGTAAGAAATTTCCTATTTACCTATCTCCCATTTCTTAAAGATCTCTTGGCTATTTCTCATTGTATGAATTGTGTGCGGTTGGGAGTCCTTCTGGGGTAGAGGGCCAGATTGCTAACATTTTGTATTTGTGAACGGGACTTTGAAGAGAATCCGGTGGGTCTCTGGGATCAGCTTAAACACTACGTTAAACCAGCACGGAGTATTTTTTAAAAAGTATTAAAAATTTTTTCAAGGCATGAAAATTAAATTCTTATTGAAATTATTGATGTAACGGCAAAATTACGGTTAAACTGGAAGGTTGCACCATAAGATTTGAATTTTTCAGTGCGATAAAGATGAAGGAGCTCGATCAAATGTTTCAAAACCTACTGGTAATGAAATTTTCTCTGCTTCTAGGAATCGGGTAGCACTGAATTAATAAGGCCTTTCATACAAGATGTTTTTGAAAGTCTTGTTTACAGCCGGCTTCATAGTTTTAGTAATTTGTAGTTCGCGGCAATTCCTTGTTCGTGTCCAGGGGCCCGTTTCTCGAAAGTCCCGGTAACTTTACGGGCCCGTAACTATGTTTTAAAATCAAAATTTAAAGGATAGGAAAGCAGGTTCTGGCATCCAAACCAGTCCTTTTTGTTTCTTTAGCTGATAGTTTTATTACATCATTTTCAAAACTTTTGAAGTCCCCATCTTGAATGAAAACAGAACAGCTTTACGGGCCCGTTAAGTTATCGGGACTTTCGAGAAATGGACCCCAGNTGCAAATGTTTTCGCTTTTAAGGGCGTTAAGTTCTCAAAGATATATTGTTAACTGTGAAAACAATCCATCACAGCGAGGACTTTTATCTAAAGTGACCCGTTCTAAAGATAATCTTTAATTAAAACAAAGTGTATCTTGCTTTTATCAATCGAAATTTTATTGAAAGCCCGTGACATTCCTGACATCAATCATCACATCTGCCAGCACTGTTTTACTCGATACTTCTTGGCTCGTTGGTACATCTGTTTCTACACGTCACCCTTGGATTCGTATAAGAAAAGAAAAATAAAATATCCCCTTAGCTTTTAACACGATAGGTGGAGTAAACAGGTGGCGTTGATATATGCCACCTCTCGCTCTTGGACAATTACTTTTCTATATTTGTTTTTCGTGCCTGAAACGTGGAAGGGAATGACCGTTAAATTTCGGGCTGGTGAGATTTCAGAAGAGTGCCACGTCAAAAGTGCTGAATTAAATCGACACTAGTCACTGCTGCGCAAGTGAATTCATAACAACAATACACATTCAATTTAATAGTGTTACTTTGGGACATTTCGAAAAATTAATTGAAGGGTTGATATCCACTTAAACAACTATTAAGCAAGCTAAGCAGAAAACTATCGCTGGGAACCGTCCACCACACCTATCTCCATACTTGAGGCAAAACCACGCCAAAGCTTTGTTTCCCCCGCCAAATCATTCAGAGGTTATGTAACCACATGTTCACCCGTGTCTTGAAATTGACGTGTTTGCCAATGACGTCACGAACCCCCGCGTGGACATATCATTTTGCTTGTTTTCTGTTATATTTGGTTTTTTAAACAGCTGAAGCAAGATAAACATGAAGATACCTGCAGTTTTGTTGATCTGTGTTGTGGCTATGTGCGTCCTGGAGTACTTTGTAACAGGTACATGAATTTCCCAACCTTTTAACTCCCACGATTGATGAACTGTGAATTTCTTCTTGAAGTATAAATATAATATCCAGCTAGCAGGTGATGGGAATAGACAAATTTATCTGCTTAAGTATGTTATCTAGATAAAGTATTATATATTTAGTGGCAAGAAAATGCATAGAATTTGCTAAGGAGAGTTAAGAGGCAGACTTTGACCATGGGAGATAAGAGTGCCCTTTTTGAATGAAGTTGTGGAGGTCTTAAAGCTCAGTTAACAGTTTTTTCTGCAAGTTATGGCGAAGCTAAGGTTGATAAATTCTTTTTCTTTTTTTTTTTTCAGCTGCCTTCATTCAGGCCGAGCCGTTTCCGCCAACCCCGATGCGAAAAGTTTCCAACAGACACTTTAAAGGTTTGTTGGAAACTGCACTATACGTTAATCATTCTCAATTTGATTGACATTTATAAGGAATTTCGTTTATTTATACATAACTAAGCAAACATGTATGCAGCACGTGTTTTATCATCCCATATATGGCGCTTTTCCTCGTGCTTACAACGAGATGTTGAGTGTGTTTCCTTCGAATAGGCTGAGAGTTGTGAGTGGCAGTCAACTGAAACGTAATAGCAAAATTGTCGAATCAAGCGAATAAATCGTGAGTTTATAAAGAAGCGTGGTACAGCTTTTTCACGTTTTCGACACGGTTGTCTTTTCAAATTATTTGTTTCCGGCATCATATACAGGAGATTTGCCAAATTTTTCACCGTTAGCCGTGAAAGCCATATCACCCCATTGAGACTCTTATACAGTAGTTATTACTTTCATGATTTAATGTAAATACTATCATCTCAGGCATCTTAATTGTAATGTGCGCATTTGGAAATTGTAGATAACCTGAAGGGAACTTTTCCCTGTTTGCACCGCCTCTCAAGGGGGTCTGTTTGCCTTTTGTCGAGTTCCTGTTTTATTTGTATAGTGAGAAGACTAATCATCACTGACAATTGAATTAGTGGCAATTAACAGGGGCCAGATGCAAACTTTGCATGACATCCCAAGAATGACTGAGAGGGGAGATAGGGTTTAAAAATGAGAAGCCAAAGAAAATCAGTAAGCTCAATACCAATCTCTCAATGTTTAGAATCACTTGTGCGATTAAAGATTGAAAACATGTTTTATCCATGTGGTTGAGTGAATTGCAGAAAATTTGATGAATTTGCTGAGCAATGGTTTGACAATCAATAATTTTGTTCTTCGCTGGCTTATGTAATTAATTGGACTTTGCTATCAACTTTCATTTGTAAGTCATGGATTACTAAGCTAAGCCTAATGAATTATTACCTGTTTATTTTCAGCCGCCAACATTCCGGCTAAAAGAAAAGAATCCATCAGAAGATGTAAGGGAAACTTGCTCAAACCTGCATCTGTCAGTTGGTTAATTTGGTTAGGCAGGGGACGTTAAAGAACCCACTCACGAGATTACTGTTAGATGGTCTGTCTTGTTTACCGGGAATTGGGGGGAGGGGGAATCTGTAAAATTTCTTCTTTATTAATTGTAAACTGCCGCTGGCAGTCTGGAAAAGTTCCCCGCACAGTGTTGTAAAGCGCATTAGAACATTGCATGGTAGATGCGCTGTATAAATTGGTATTATTATTATTATTATTATTATTATTATTGAAATCGGAACTACTATTAGGTCGTTTTTACTTTTAACTTGTAAATAGTTATTTGCTTTGAGTGTTCATAAAGTTTGATTACTATTATTATTATTATTACTGTTATATAATGAAATTTTTTACTTGGAGACTTCGATCATTCTTCAGGATGTCTCTAAGCTAAAATGCGACTGCTTTAGAGGGCACTCAGTTTCTCCTTGTTATAGGGCCGCCACTCTCTTGCTCTACGTGGGAAAAAATCAACTGCCTCAGAGTGAAACTGAGTTAGTAAGGTCTCACACTTACTTTTACACTCAAACCTCTGGTTATATTTCACCTTATTATCCTATTGGTCTCATGAAATATCTGCCTGTCAGTCTGAAAAAACTTATATTAGTTCAAGCCATTTCATATATTAATCATAGCTAAATACACTGCTCTTATTCCGCCGGGAGGCAACTTCAAACCAATAAGTAAAGCTTATTGGTGCAACTGTTCTCTCATAGCAAAACAGGGAAGAGTTGGCACGGGCTTTGACGGAACACATATTGACAGGTATGGAGGGCTTGAAGATTCAGCACCCAGGAGACTGTTGGCATAAGGTATGTTTAATCCCGAGGAATAGTTACGCTTGTAACTTAAAGTTCAGTGCCTTACCCAATAAAAAAAGGTACAAGTGACCAGCTTAAACTTAAATAGAGGCTGTTGTTCAGGTGCTCAGATAAATTAGCAGTGTTGTCTTATATTCAGTTATTCTGCTCTTTCAAGTTTTCGTCGCCATTTGAGTGAAGTAACTATCTCCATAAGGTAACGATAGGTGTTAATGATTCTTTGAACAAAAGAAATTACAAAGTGATGCTTTGCAAGGCAACGATAGTTAAAATGAAAGTGGGCATCCGTGGATAATGAAGATTTACAGGAGGAACCAGGGTATTTCGAAGCTGTACGGAGGATTTTTCGGAAGACGAATGTGTTATTTCCATAAAGCAAAGAATGCTGTATGTCGTTGTTGAAGGTATTTAAACCTTCTAACTTCTTTCGTTCCTCTCATTTATAAACGACTTAGAAAAGTTTTCCTTTTATTTTTCCTTCTTCAGAAGAGCAAAGATTCACCAAATTAATTACTTCATTTGAGTGCGGGAGGTTCGAAGAAAATTGGATATCGGACGCAAGCCGTCGAAAAAGAGCGGAGAACGGCAATTGTAATCAGTCAATGTAATTAGTACTACATTGTTATTTCATATAAGTAAAAAAACTTTGTCTTTATAGGGTGTGCACTAATTAAATATTAAAAAAAAAATGGTTTGCGGTTATACGTCTCTTTGACCTCTTGAGATCTATATATATTTACGCAAGAAACTATCCGGGTTCAGATCTACAATGCATGTTGGCATCCAAAAATTTTCACCAAGTACAGAGCGAAAAACGTAACACGGTAATAACAAAGCAGCCACAGTAAGCCCGCAGCAATATTTTAAATACTGCAGCAAGCAGGCTGCAATATTAAAATATTTTAAAATATTGGAGTACAGACAGCTCATTGCAACATTGAGCGTTTTAGCTCGTTTCAAATTACTCCTAATAATTTTCCTCCTCATGAAAAAGGGGACCTCCGTTTTCCTCAGAAACTTAGACTAGACTGAATATGTAAACCTTCTCAGGCTAAAATCGCTATTATAATGCAGAGAAATAACAATGGGATAAGCTAGGATATTATGAGGGTCGGTAATTATTTGGATAATTTGATTTTATGAACTAAATTGATAATGTAAACTGGCCATCGTAAGAATTTCTAAGCTGACATTTCCAGTGTTAGCTCTCAGCTCTGAAACTCTTTACAATGACCAGTTTACATTATCAGCTCAGTTGGGAAAATCAAATTATCTTGTTACACGCCCCCACCGACGCAGCATCACAGTTTCATTAGAATGTTACCCCCTTTATTCAGTAAGTATTTACGATTGGACGCTTTGTGCGGCGTGCGTTTGGCGACCCTCTCACTTCCTCACAGGTCTGACTCGTGTTTCGCCTTTTCACATCTTTTAACACTCCTCATTGGTCCGTTTTGATAATCTGAGTGAGCTGTTTTAAACGATTTCTGTTGTTTCCATGCTACACCAGTTTCATCGTGTTTCTTATAAAGTCTCTTGTTAAACATGCTCTTAGCCTTTGAACTTTGTTCTGTATCGTGACAATGTGTCATGGAAAATCGAATGCCTTATAACTGGTACAAGATTTTCTTTGATTTCGAGAACTGATTGACTTAGAACTTCTCCTTGCACTATAAATACAATATCTACAGCCGTAAGCAGGTGGTGAGATAGAAAAACTTAACAGCAAGATAGTCTAACTCGTTAGATCACTCAATCTCCAAGGTAAAAAACACAAGGGGTTGGGAGAATTTTAGTCATTTTTGCAGGTTATTTGAGTGAAGGGTGCCTTTTTGTGCCGCTTTTTTTTTTTTTTCCAGAGATCTTTAAGAAATGGGAGAAAGGCGAGTAGGTTTTTAATTTTTCGTCACAGGCAAGCGGCCGGATTGTTGAGCTAAATTATTCAAATTGGCGGCGTCTGTAATCGAATCTTTAGCATGTTTT